AGAATCATAGATGATTGATGTCTACCACTGAGAGGTGCAACCAATGTGTGCACTGGCTTCGGTATAATAATAATGTTACAACAATGAGTCCGCATCGGACCAACCCTTCATGCTTGTACTGACTAACTTACTTCTGCAGAGCAGCTATGGCAGTGAGACGGGGAGCGGCGGCGGTGTCTTATTGAATCTTGAGGAGGATGAAGATGGCGACGCGGTTGGTGCGGATGTCGGGGTGCCACTGCGCCTGCTCCACGCACCCGATCTCGAACTCCCCATGGCCCCTTCCAAGAAGCACTCCACCACGGCACCACCACATATGGTCCTTCATTCACACTTCATCATTACTTTAGCAATCAGCAGGCAGCAGCAAGGCATTCAACATCGAACTGGACGGGATTGGATCGCTCACCGTTGCGGAGCTCGCCCGCGAGCAGCACGGTGGTGTCCGGCCGGGGCAGCCGAGTGAGCGTGGCCAGCAGGTCGCCGACGGCCTCCTCGCTGTACTCCACGTCCGACCCCAGCACGAGCTCAAGCGGCGGGTCCAGCATCTCGGGGTAGAGCTCAGTACTCGTCGCCCCACACCAGCTCCGCCACCGTTGCCAACCTGCCCCCCACGTCCCCACCACCCCCAACGTTCTCCTCGAGGTTCTTCCGTAGCAGCCTGACGCGGTCGGGCAGGTCGGTGGCCACGACGCGCGCCGAGCAGCGCCGCCACGACGGCCACAAGCCCGCACCCAGCGCCAAGGTCCACCGCGCGCGCGCCGCGCACCGGCAGTAGGCCGCTGTCGGCCGCGTGCAGGAGGAACTTGGCAAGCACGATGCCGCTGTCTCACACCACGGCGCCCGTGACCCCCGACGTGCCCCGGAAGGACGACAACTGCTGGTGGAGCGTCAGGCGGCGGCCGCACGCGTCGATGTGGAAGGTGACCGGCGCCCCACCTCGCCTTCGTCGAGACAATCTATGAGAGAAAGCATTTCTCGCACCTGATTCTTGCGGCTGATTTTTCTCAATGCATGATTGTGTTTCCTTTTATTAGGGGCGAACGAAGGCGAGGGATCACTTGTTGATGGAAGGTTGGATGTGATCATTGATGGATTGGCGTGAGAAATAGGGAGGTGATCTGTTTGTATGGTATTATTTCTGAATTTTTAATTACCAAATATTTACATGATTGAATTGAATCGGCACCTGCCAAAGAAAGCACGAATAAATGAAAGGAGTATCAGACGTGGTTCGGTTTTACGTGCGAAGAAGAAAAAATTAACGTGAGAGGTGAGACAAAATAAACAGGACGAAAATTAACCAGATGAAAATAAACCGTGAAGACTATTCACCAACTCAAACATTAGGACTAGAGATATGAGTGACACAATTGCGATCAGATGCTCCTTTCAGACTTGTTGTTCATTTTAATTAGCTACACCTTCCGTTCCATAGTATAAGATCAATTTTTAAGACAGCTAAAAAATGTTCTTATATTATGGGGCGGAGGGTGTAGTATTGATATCTAAGAGTCAATTACACCGGTGGTGCTTGAACTTGGCGTGATCGGTTACTTTGATGCTAGAACTTGTGGCAAACATTGAACTGGTGCAATAACTTGGCTCGTGAGGGCTCAGCCGCCGCCGCCTTGTTTCCCTCCAACGCCCTTCTCCCCCTCCGCTGCTGCCGATGGTCGGCGTCGGGCAAAGCCCGTGCGTGCGACGACGATGGCGGAGGGTCTCTCCTCCCTCTTCCGGATCCACAGCGGCACGGGCGTCCTGATCCGCGGGGTGCGGCCCTGCCGGCGGTGTGGCGGATCCCGGAGGCGGCGGGCTCGCGACGGTGCACGGGCGCCCAGATCCATGGGTGTGGGACTCCCGGCAGCGTGCAGGCTCCCGGCGCCGTCGGGATCGGTCGATGGCGGGCTTGGGCGATGGCGTCGGCCGCGCGGTGCCGAATCTCGTCGGTTGCGTGGTGCTGGATCTCCTCGCTCATGGCGGATCTCGCCACTCCGGCCATCATAGAGGAACCTGGACCTGGGGCGGCGGCCTCGTTAGGCATGGCGATGGCCCCCTCGGCTGGCAACGTTCGCAGGGGGTGGACGGACGACGTATTGAACGCGTGGGCGGTGAGTTGCCAATGGATCTCTTCCGCGTTGTAGGCCTTCTCAATCTGCACTTGGTGGCCTACGATCGCGGTCGTCGGTCCCGGTGCGTTCGCGGGGGCTGGTAGAGGTAACACCGGACCGGAGGAAACTCTGGATGACTCGTTCGTCCCGACAGTGGCGTCGACCAGGGGTCGTCGTTCTCCTACTTGCATGCGCCGTCGAGGTCCCTGCCCTCTACCCCGACCCCATGCCCGAGTGAAAACCCAAAATCTCCTTAGATTGGGCGGCGGCGGCACTGTGTGTGTCGTACCCTTCTTGGAGGCGCCGCCTGGCGCGTTTGGGTGCTCGGTTAGAGGAACTACGGGCGAAGGGGATGGGACCAGTGGCAGCAGGTGGTGTTTGCGACGGAGTAGCGGCGTGGCATCTGGCACGTCGACATCGTCGGGTCTCAATGGCATGGAGCATCGGGGTCTCGCCGGTGGGCGTGTGATGATGAACAAGCGCAGGATGGTGGTGTCGTGGTGGCGTTGACGACAGCTAGACCAGACAAGGTAGATGCAGCGGTACAACACAAAAGATGCATTGGTGGCAGATGGCTGCGGTTGCCTCATACCCGGCAGGCGTCCTGGTTGAGAAGTGCGCCGGACTGGTGGGTGCCCCATACCCGGCAGACGTCCTGGTTGGAACATCAGGTCTTAGATGTTACGTTTGGCCGCGAGGTCTATTTGGTATTAGACCCAGACTATCAGCATCCCTTCATCAACTGGATAGGATTAGCGACAAATGTTGCCTAGACGGTGGCTTTAGTCTTACTGTTGTATGACTTTATAATGTGAATAATTAATAAAATGGCTGCATACATCGTCCAGATGCAGAGGCCGGAGGTCCTCCTCTTTTTTCTAACAAAAAATGTTTTTTATTTTTTCTGTATGATAGGTGGGCACCGACATGAAAATTAAAAGAAAAAGGGTAAGCCTTCTACACTCAAACACGCGACGAAATGATAGCACGTACGCGCTCACAGCCACTGCACTATTTTCTTTTGGATGTTCAACAAGGATAACAGATATTAATGTAGTATAAGGATATTCGCAAATGATAAAATGTAAGTAATAAAAATAAAGTTCAAATATTTGTGTGTATGTGGGGCTTAAATTGGGTGCAAATAATGCGGCCCATTTTGCACGCGCTGGTTCTTTCGAAATGTTTGTAAAACGTAAGTAATAAAAGTAAAGTTATTTGTGTGCTATAAATATCATACACACAAATGATGATTAGTACTACATAAACACATTTAAATATACACACATGTATTATATAATTGTTTTTAGTAAATGCAGACACTGAAAATGGTTAATGAATTAAAAAATACACTTGCAGCTTATATTTAATTTATTTTGATGAATATAAACATTTACTAAATATTTCTGAATATTCACTTGTGACTTATATTAAAAAATATTAGCACGGCTGAATATTCATATGAACACTTTAAATCTTAAATTATGAGTATTTTTAATTGTGGAAACACCAAACTATACAAATGTGCGTATAATTATTGAAATGTTTGTGGAATTAAAATAATATTTATGAATTGTAATGTTAAATATATTTTCATTTTTTTAAAATTATACAAACATTTTAATAATTCACAAATATTATTTTAGATATATATGTATATTTTTAAAAGAATACGAGAACAGTTTAGAAAAGCAATTTATTTCGTTTGTATGTATATAATAATATTTATAGCTCACGAATATTTAAAGGTTATTTTTTTACTCAGATTAGAACTTACATTACCTACAAATTTCTAAATAAAACTAACAGGAGCAAATGGGGCGCACTGACGGCAGCCCATTTCAGCGCTGCAAGCTCCTCTATTCCACTATTCTAAAAAAAACCCGCCTCTATTCGACTACAGTAACACAAGTATCCACTTCAAGATGTCAAGACGTGAATGGTGCAGGTGTCAGGACGGACCTTGATAGAACCAATGGTCGCGCTTCAAGACGAGTCCATTTGTTTTGTTAATTTTTTAGTATGTACACACGGGACCCACTAGCTGTAGAGTCGAACAAAATGAAATGCCATCTTTCCGACATCAACAGGGCTCTTTTGTGAGAAAAAAAATTGAGGGTGTCTTCGCAAAAAAAAAAAAAAAAACTGGCCACACGCCCTCTCTTTGCCATTGGGTCGTTGACGGCGGGACCCATGCCATATTGGCGTGCCTAGTTAGCAGCTCGGACGTACACAACCGAGATTTGCATCGTATTTGCATGTCAGAGCCAAGTTATTACACCAATTCGATGTATGCCACGAGTTCTAGCATCAAAGTGACCCTTCGCGTCAAGGTCAAGCACCAACGGTGTAATTGACTGGATATCTAATTGAGCAACTAGTTTTGTGCAACTATAATAAAATAGAGTAACGCCCTCTTGGAACAGAATTATGACAACAAAGAAGGTAACATACTATGACATGGAAAATGGTGGTATGAAAATGAGGCAATGCTAGTCATAGTATATCTATTGGGTCCACCGCCTCTGTTGTTCTATTTTGTAGTTTACTATCCTTGAGGCTTTGAAGCGAATGAAACTATGCCAATACCCTACTTACACGGACTCTATCAGCGAGGTAATTCACTAGTTTATGCACATTACTTTGGTTTTTTCTTAAATAAAATGACAAGCTTCTGGACATGTTGGAGAAACAACACGAAAAAATTAAATAAAAAAATCTTTGCTGTACATTTCTCCTTAGAAAGGATTCACAAATCACATCACAAGCACTCTAGAACGGCAACAAAAGCTACCAAAATCATCATCAAGCTGACGCCTAATCCTGCACAATCACCGCCAACACTTCCGGGGCATCCCTCTCCAACCTCTGTGTTTCTCCCGCTTCGATTACCTCCAAGACCTCCCTCAGCACGCGCTCCTCGTCCACCGAGAGCTCCTCCATGGCCTCCTCCAGCTGCGCCACCAGCTCCGGATCAAACACCGCGCGCTCTCCGTGTTCTGCCGACTCGGGCGGTGCCGCCGGTACGCTGCCGAACTTGGGCGTGACGTAGGAGCCCGGCGAGAACATCTGCCCGCCGCCGAGCAGCCAGTCCCTCAGGCTGCCGGACTTGCTGAAGTCGAAGCCCGGCGCCGCGCTCAGCTCACCGAGCTGCCTCGCCCTGGCCCGCCTCTTCGCGCCGCCGGGCGTCTCCCCTAGTTCCGGAGCGCTGCTGGCGGTGGCCATCGCGTCTTGCTCCGTGCAGCTGCTCTGCGCCGGCGGCTCCACCTCCACCGACGCGTCTGGTTCAGGCGCTGGTGCTGGTGCAGGCTCCGCTTTCTCCGGCGAGCCGCACCGCGAAACCAGCGCGTCGAACTCCTCCAGCGTGCGGAAGCTGACCGCCCTCCCGGCGGTGACATCGTATGCATACCGAAGCGACGAAGTTTTGCCGCCGTCTGATTTCCGATCATCGTCCCGCTCCTCGGCACCTTCCGCGGTGTTCTCCTCCTCCAGCCCGGCGAGAAGGTCAGACACGTTGATCGTCTCGATCTTGGCCGCCGCCGAGGCAGGCTCCGGGCTCTGCTCGACGGCGTCGACCTTGCTGCTCCTGGCGGCGGAGCTGGAGGTGCGGAGGAGGGCGAGGAACTGGTCGCCGTTTCTCTTGGAGTTGGAGAGGATGATCTCCTCGACCAGGCTGCTCCTCTGGAGCCCCTGATTGGCCTTCTCCCGCAGGCTCCCCGACCTGCTCAGTACCTTGGAGGAGATGCACCCCATCGCTCCTCGGTCTCTCGCTCCCAGCAATCTATCTATCTTTTTTTTTTTTTTTGCGGGTGAGCAATCTATCTATCTATCTATATATATCTGAAAAGTTCCTCCACACGCAGCTGCTCCACAGATGCTCTCTCAGTTGGTTTTGTCTGCAAACGATCACGTATCTTAACGACGACAGGCTGCCAAATCATCTGAAGCATATATAGATAATAAGAACGAGAAGAATTACCTGCCTGGGTTCTTGGAAAGATTCTCCCCGTTGCACTCCTCGATTCTAGCTTGAATTGCTTCAGATGATTTGTTGCGGATTAAGATTAGCGCCGGGGCAGCACATGCAGAGCACCGGGCCAGGATCCGATCATGGCTGACTAATGGCTGCAATTAAGTACAAAATGGAAGTGGCTGCCGGCTGCCTCTCGTGGGTTTCGAGTCAGCAGAATGGTTTCTTAGTTTAATGGATCGGCAAATTGTGATGCTACGGACCTATCGGCGCCACGCCACCAACCCCAGTTTGAACACCGGGCGTTTTTTTTAATGGGACACCGGACGTTGGTAGTGCCGTGGCGAGCCGCAGAAATCAACCTTGGGTTTGCCGGTTATTTGCAACGATGCCATTATGCGTAACATTGCTTAGCCGTGTGGCATTCTCGGGGTTTATGTCCGAACCATGGGTGGTGTGCACACCATGACCATATGCTGCCGTCTGGTCATGAGGAGTGGGCTCCGCCAGGAGAAAAGCTGGGCATGCGGCATGCCGCGGGAGAACGGGAGGCATGGGGAAAAGTCGTCGGCGTGGCGGGAGCGCCAACTGTGACCGGATATCTGCCGTCCGCTGTTCGTTCGACGGCCCAGGACCGGATGGAGTCGTTGGAGCTCACGCTGCCCCAACAACCCTGGCCAGGCCGCCACATATTGACGTCGCCACCGTACGTCGATGTAGACCCCGACATTGCCGATATCTTTCCACCGTATTATTACTCTCAATCTTGTTCTGTAGTAGTAATAACTATTTTTTGCGATTACATACCAAAAGTAAAACGTGAGCAAGAAAACCTTGCCGGTCCACGAAATGCCGTGGTCAAGGCCGAACAAGCTCAATGTTCCAAACGAGAGATGACAAGTGAGCACGCCATTGTTGGGGAGCGTAAACGCCATCCGTCCACTGCATAAACTAGCGAGCCATGAACCGCTGGTTAGCTAGCCACGTACATTTGGACGCCTAGTGGCAGCATCCGAGGTAACAATCTCCTCAAATGAAGCGGCCCCTTTTCACGGGCTCCAAGAGGGTGGAGTTTACTCTAGATCGATGATGTCTTCTCTCTTCAGTATTACTGTATTCACTTTATATGTGAGAGAGGTGTGGACTACAAGTAGGGTTTGTTTGTGCTATACGAACTTTTAGCACATTTTCAACTAAGCATAATTTAGGTTCTTTTGTGGTGAAACCAGTTCATTAGGGTTATAAGCCATAGACCTGGCATGGATGCTAGCATATTTCATGTATTTTTTTCAGGCATTCCGACGTCACTCTCGGTAGTATGGCATGCTCATCGACTATGAGGTGTCAGGTAAAGTATGCGTGCGCGTGTGCGTGTTATGATAGCCGGTATCTGTATTATGCTTCACATAATTTTTCTAAGCATGTTTTAGATCATCCTCATTAGTTTGATATAGTACATCATAGTAGTGTCTATTTTAGGGGTATATCGTAATAGTGCCTAGTCACTATGAACCGCTATAAAACAGCATTCACCCACACGTGTTCCATATGGCCCCGGCCCAGTAGTGCTATAAACGACATTTGCCCCTGCGTGTCCCATATGGCTCAGGCCCAGTAGCGCTATAACTGGTGAAAGATGTCCGCTGGTTGGACCTTTTTAGGGTTCATACTACAAAGCCGTTCAGTCATGCGGCGCTCTTAACGAAGATGAGGAATGCTTGGATGGCAGCACAGGGAGTCACATTCAATATCAAGGGACCAAACCTCTTTTTGGTACAATGCCATTGTTTGGGTGATTGGAGGAAAATCATGGATGGCGGTCCTTGGCTGTTTAGGAGGGCGCCGGTCGTGCTTCAGGAATATGATGGATTCTCGGATGTCACCAAATTTAAACTAAACAAGTACCCGGTGTGGGCTAGAGTTAAAGGGCTTTCGGATGGTCTTACAAGGAAGAAAGATCTAGCAGAGAAGGTGGCTACAAAGATAGGCAGGCCACCTTTGAATGTGATTGTCAATGAGGGTAGGATATATCCCCCTAGCATTCTTAGGACACGGGTGTTCCTTGATGTCAATATACCCCTTGTCTGTTTTGTCCCAATTAAGCTAAAGGAGCATAAGAAATTCAACGTCTATTATGAAAACTGACAGACTTTTGCTTCTCTTGTGGCCTAGTTGGTCACCTTGCTAGTGAGTGTGGCGATGGGGTGCATGACCCCGCATGGTTCGAATGGGGGGAGTGGTTGTTGTGGGATCCGGAGCCCTCTGCTGATCAGTCCTGGAGCGTCCGGGGCAGGAGTGATGGTGGAGGAGGTGGGAGGATGGGAGGGAGAGCAAGAAGAGGAGGACGAGGGGGTAGGGGGGCGAGCAGTAGCAAGGGTAGAGGAGAGTCTCATGGAATGGGGAGGGGTCAGGACGGAAGTGATGGGGCAAACTTTGTTGTTGTAGGGAAGGTTCTTGAAGAGGAAGGGGATAAGGGAGCTCGCAAACGCCTTGTTTCCGCAGATGGATCACTGAACATTAGGGGCCAGCCGGTCCCAAACCTAGCTGGCAGGGTGGCGGGTACGGTTCTTATTATCTAAGGAGCCTCCCCAAACACTCCTATGGAGGGGCAGGTGTCTACGCCAGAGAAAACCCAGGTGCCAAAGAGGAGGAAGCATGATGGAACTGTTGCGGTGGATGAGATGGATATTACAAATCAGGAAGCCTCCAGAGCGGAGGACCGTCGTGCTCATGAGGACCCTATGTTGGAACTGTCGTGGGATTGGCGATCCCGTGCCAGTTCGTGAGCTCCGCGACCTCGTGGAGGCTAGTGTGCCGTCGGCCCTATGCATTGTTGAAACTCAACTAGCGAAGTATCGAGTGGAAGGGTTGGTTGGTAGGTTAGATTTTAGCAGTAGTTTTGGAGTAGGAAGTAGCGGTAGGAGTGGAGGACCTTGCTTGTACAGGAAGAATAATGTCAATCTCGAAATAAAGAGCTTTTCACAGTATCATATTGACTCGGTGATATCAGAACCGGGTAAGGATCCATGGCGATTATCTTGTTTTTATGGGGCTGCAAACAGGAGTTTAAGATACAAGACATGGGACACTATGAAATTTCTGAGAGGAGAAAGCATGTTGCCATGGATTTGCATGGGAGACTTCAATGAGATTTTCAAGCTGGAAGAACATATGGGACCAAATGAACATGACAATTCACAAATTGCAGGCTTCCGTGAGGAAGTTGATGTGTGCGAATTAGCGGACTTGGGCTACAAGGGGCTGGACTGTACTTTTGAGAAGAGAGTAGTGGGGGTGAGTTCTGTCATGTTTCTTAGACAGAGCTCTGGCCACCCCAGCTGGTCTGGAATGTTCTCGTTCACATCGGTTGAGCACCTCACAGCGGCAATATCAGATCACTATCCTATTGTGTTGTCTATTGAATTGGAATCCAATAGCGTGAGACATAGATTGAAGAAGTCGTTTCATTATGAATGTGCATGGGAAACTGACAGTAGTTTTGAGGGCGTGCTCGAGCAGGCATGGGAGAAGGACCGTCCGGCTACCACGGTCGCTGAACTGGCAAACAAGCTGAACATCGTGGCCTCTATGTTGAAACGATGGGGAAAGCTTCCGTTTGGCTCAATTCGGCAGGAGCTCCGGGAACTAAGGCAGCAACTTGCGGCCTTCCATGCTGAACCACTACTGGTAGGGCCGGGGCTCGACGAGCAGCGAGTGTAGGACGGGATGGTTGAGCTTTCATACCGGGAGGAGATCATGATGATACAACGCTCACACATTCAATGGCTAGTTGAGGGAGATTCCAACACAAAATATTTCCAAAGAAGGCAAGTGCACGCAAAGCCAAGAACACTATTAGTTCGCTGCAACATCAAGATGGATCCACCTGCTCGGATCCGGGAGAGCTGCCAAAATGACTGTTGGGGAATACAGTAATTTCAAAAATTTCCTACGATCACGTAAAATCTATCTAGGTGATGCATTGCAACGAGAGGGGAGAGTATGCCCATGTACCCTTGTAGACTGAAAGCGGAAGCGTTTCAATAACGCGGTTGATGTAGTCGAACTTCTTCGCGATCCAATCGATCAAGTACCGAACGTACGACACCTACGCGTTCAGCACACGTTCAACTCGATGACGTCCTTTGTGCTCTTGATTCAGTTGAGGACGAGGGTGAGTTCCGTCGGCACGACGGCGTGGCGACGGTGATGATGATGCTACCGATGCAGGGCTTCGCCTAAGACACATGATGGTATGATCGAGGTGTGTAACAGTGGAGGGGGGCACCGCACACGGTTGGGAGCGAAACTTGTGTGTTCTAGGGTGCCCCTTGCCCCCATATATAAAGGAGAAAGGGGAGGCCAGCCGGCCCTCCTAGTGCGCGCCCCACAAGGGGAGTCCTACTAGGACTACTAGTCCTAGTAGGATTCCACCAAGAGGGAGAGGTGGGGAAGGAAGGAGAGGGAGAGGGAGAAGGAAAGGGGGGCGCCGCCCCCCCTTCCCTAGTCCAATTTGGACCTAAGGGGGAGGGGGCGCGTGGCCTGCCCTAGCCGCCACACTCTTTTTCTCCACCAAGGCCCATGTGGCCCATTAGTTCCCCGGGGGGTTCCGATAACCCTCAGGCACTCCGGTTTTATCCGAAACTTCTGCGGAACACTTCCGGTGTCCGAATATAGTCGTCCAATATATCAATCTTTATGTCTCGACCATCTCGAGACTCCTCGTCACGTCTGTGATCTCATCCGGGACTCTGAACAAACTTCGATCATCAAGAACACATAA